TGCGATAATTTAGCAAAATCATTCAGAACCTAACGAAAAAATATATTTCATTGTGTTTGTTTATTATTAAATTATTGTAAACTTTTCTAAAATATATTTAGCTGGATTAGGCAAAAATTAAATTGTGCTAGTTATAGTAAGATGTTACGTAATTTTTCAAAGGGTTCTTTTGGTACAAAATTATTAATTTTTACATTAACATAAATGAAAAATGTATCTTTATATATATATATATATAAAATATATATATAAATATATATAAATATATATAATGTGTGTGTGTGTATGTGCAACCCACAAGCCATGGGGTGGAAATTTTTAGCTCAAGTACTTTCACCCCTTCTCATACGTCATCAGGAGCTATGCAATTGTTGCAAGGCAGCAACTGAAGGAATGAGGGAAGAGTTTTTTCCTCAGAGCACTCAGTGTGGGTTTGACACTTCCCTGTTTGACAGGCTGGAAGCCTGGTCCAGCAACTGGCTCCTCGAATTTAACACCGCTAAATGCAAAGTCATGAAGATCGGGGAAGGGCAAAGAAGACCACAGACAGAGTACAGGCTAGGTGGCCAAAGACTGTAAACCTCACTCAAGGAAAAATTTTGGAGTGAGTATAATACCGTTTCAAATCTCCTGGGGCGAAACATAAACCCAGGTAACGTTTACAGCATATGAGGGGCCTGACAAACCTGAGAATAGCGTTCCCGATGCCTCAGGAAGGAATCGTTCAAGGCTATACACCGTGGTCGTCAGGCCTATATTTTAGTATGTAGCATCAGTTTGGAAACCCACGCCTGGTGATACACGTCAAGAAATTAGAGAAAGTGCAAAAGTTTGCAACAAGATTAGTCCCAGAACTAAGGGAATGTCCTACGAAGTAAGGTTAAGGAAATTGGCCTAACGACTTTGGGAAAAGAAAAGGGGGGTTAAGGGAACATGATAACGACATATAAAATACTGCGAGGAAATTGACAAGTTGGACGAAGACAGAATGTTCCAGAGATGGGACACAGAAACAAGGGGTCACAATTGAAGTTACGACTCAGGTGAGTCGAAGGGATGTTAAGAAGTTTTTCTTTAGTCAGAGCTGTCGGGAAGTGGAAAGTCTATCAAGTGACGTAGTGGAGGCAGGAACCAAACATAGTTTTAAGACGAGGTATGAAAAATCTCATGGAGCATGTAGAGTGACCTAGTAACGGTCAGTGGAGAGGCGGGGCCCGGAGCTATGTATCGACCCCTGCAACCACAAATAGGCGAGAACAAATAGGTGAGTACACACACATACATAACACACACTCAAGAGACCAAGTGTCCCATCGACAAGTGCCTTTAACAACTAGTACTAACATTACACAACACCGTGGACGTTAATGAATCTCCCAAAGGGAAAAAAGAGTCTCACGTGTCCCCTTCTCTGGTAAACAACTGGAGGTAGAGAGAGAAGAGAGAAGAGAAAGAGGGGAGAGGGAGAGAGAGAGGGGGAGGGGGGAGGGAGAGAGAGATAGGGAGGGAAGAGGGAGAGAGAGAGGGGAGAGAGAGGGGGGGAGAGAGGGAGGAGAGGAGAGAGAGAGGGGGGAGAGGGAGAGAGGAGAGAAAAGAGGGGGGAGGGGGAGGGAGAGGGAGAGATACAAACACGAAAAAGGATTCAACCCTAACAAAGGTGAGATCCTGAAAATGGGTGAGGAAGAAGCGGGGGGAACCGAGAACAGCGTGCTGAGGGGGCAGTCACCCTTTGCATAAATAATCTCCAGAAGTAAGTCACTTTGTCTGGCTCTTTTTTGGAGTTTATCCTAGGTAATTTACACTATGTTTGATAATTATTCTTGCATGCAAAGCAACCACTGTGAGAAATATATGAACTTTCAAGCGCTTTTCGTGATTTCTCATATTATGAAGGCCCTTTTTTACACAGATTAAGTTCATTATTTTTTTATAGTGTTTGTTTTTGCATATTGGATATCTGTATTGTGATATTATTGCATAATTATACTTACGTGTACCTTTACTTAAATAAACTAAATAAAGCGCATAACCTCAGTGACATGGGTGAGACCATAATTCTCAAATAGCATTCAGGTTTCTATAATTTTAGGACACCAAACACACAATATAACCGATGTTCCAACCTCGAGTATGTAGCCCAAGTGTGGAGCCCCCACCTAGCCAAGCACCACACAAGTCCCCAAAAAAACTCATTTAAGTTGTATATTTATATTTATCATTACATTTGAGTAGAAGAATGGAGGAAGAAGAATACACAGCAACAACGTAAAGTACATTTATTAGGAAATTAACGGGTTAGAATAAAATGCATATAACGAGATTATTATCACAACTTTAATAATAGCAACGAAGATAAAAGTAACGAAAGATAACAGTGAAACATATTTACCCTTCGTTTTCCATCTCCTGTATCATTCTCACCCCTCTCTATACCTCTCCATCTCTCTCCATCATTTCTCACCCTCTCCTCTCCCCCTCCCTCTATTCATTCTCCCTTCCCACACGCCATTGACTAACACTCAAAACTCCTACAGTTTCCATTCATTGAATTCCTTTCTCTAGCCCCTCTGTTTTTTTATTGTTTGGAGAGATATTACTTCACGTGGAAGAGGTGGAAGTGGAAGGCTGGAGTGGCCATGGAAAACGTGGGAAGGTGGCGGGAATCCTGGAATGGTGATAAATTGTTGTTGTCTGAAGTTTTAATTCCTTTTCAAATTTGACCTCTCTAGTTATGATCTTTTTTAAAAACTATCTCGTTTTTTTTCTAGGTTTTGTAGGGGAAAAAGAAATTGTTCTTCCCAGATTCTGCCTTAAGTTATCGTGTTATAATCATGGTTAAGTTTCAAGCTTGGGGCACGTTGGAGACATACCTGTGACCGCTTCGAATGTTCGTCTACTCTCGAAGTGCGACCTGAGTCACACCTTTGTTGCTGAATATTTGATGTACCAGGCTGTTTCTGCTAGCGGAACACAGGCCTGCAGAGCTACCACAGTCTGGTTGATCTGATTCTCAGGATCCAGAGGTTGTGCTGAATGTGACTTCAAGCTCCAGTCTTCTTGAACGAGGAAGAGACTTGTTGAATGATGAAAACACTTGTTGAAGGAGGAAAGGACTTTTTGAAGGAGGAATACTTTCCTGACGGCGATACGGGCTTGTTGAAGGAGAAAGATACACGCTGAAGGAGGAAGAGCCTAACTAAAGGAGAAAGAAGATCGTCATTTTGCTGGTGACGCTGGCGATGGAACCACCACAGCACCATGCGTGCTCGGTCAGTGCAGCTGATGACTTCCTGGTGGGTGGTGGGCGTGTGGGCGGCGCTGGGGATCACTACGGGAGTGATCAGTGTGGTGACTGTCCTGCAGCCTTCCTGGTACGTCAGGTATTCCCTCATCCACGCCCAGCAGGCCAGAGGAGTCTCCTTCCAGGTGAGTACTTCCATTTTTTTTAACTCAATGGAAGAACAAAATGTGTTGCTTCCCCTTTCACCCTTTGTGTCTCAGTGTACACGGTATATTCACCTAGTATATTCTCAGTGCTAGTGTACAGGTAAACTGCGGCCTTACTGACCATCGTGAGGTCAAGAGGTCTTAAATCTCATAAACGATGCAAACTTTAAGGGAGAATTATTTTAGAGCGAACCAAAGAGCAGAGATTTACTTTGCTGTGTGTAAATCCTATCGACCGCATGTGGGTCACTAAGGGTGCACATCACCTATACACTATCAGCGTATATATACTAAGTGAAATATACCTCCCGGTGTATATACTAGGAGAGACTTGCATCTGTCGGTGTATATATTAAGAGGGATTTGCATCTCTCGGTGTATATATCCTATTTTTCTTTTATCTATAATGGCGTTTTATTGAGAACGAAATTTTTGAGAGCTTGCAACAGAGCTACGTTTTATATATGGTAATTGGTCTTGGTTTTGAAACTTCTTCGCTACTGTATTTAGGAAGAAGCGCTAAATCCATAGGGGTCATGCAGCGCCTAGAGAATAGGAGGGAACCAAGTTCGAACCAAGGAACGTAAGAATAGGTCCAGTTCCTTGGATCAAGAGCCCCTCGCCGACATCACGGAACCTCCCATTGAGGAGATGACACTGCGTCAGTCTTGGACTGCAACACAATTGTCCTCAAAGCTTTGTTAAGTTATACCATGAATTAAGGAAAGATTCCAAACTTCACCTTACGAAACAGACAGAGCAAATGCGATAGTAATTATGGACACGGTAAGATTGTAATTGAAAAATGAACATGTTATCAGAAGACGGGAGGAATTTATGTGCCTCTTAAACGAAACTCGAGTACCGACAAATAACCCGGTCTAAGTCGGACCGAAACGTCGTCGGAAGCTCCTTTCTCCTATGTGCGAGTTATTTGTATATTGTTCCAGTCATGGTATTGTACCTTTTTGCTCTGTCGGTACTATAAATGCTCAACAAATTCAGTGATCGTGATTATAACGGAGAAGCTTCAAGCTGCATGAAGCAAAAACTTCTTTATAATCATACTGATTGAAGCAAAGTAAGCTGATGCCTCCTAATAGAAGTTTTGTAACCAAGAACAAAATTTTCAACGACAAGTTGAGAGACTCAGTTATTTTCCACTTAGTAACTAATAATGTAACTTCACTGTACACTTTAGCTTGTTATTTTTATAACTCTGAGATTTATAACTATCCAAGAAATTGTAGTAATCCTATTCTTCCTTGACCCATTTAATCCAGACGCTGCATGACCCCTACAGGTTTAGAACTTCCCCTTGGTTATAACAGTACCAGGTAATAACAATAAAATTATAAATAATAATAATTAATCTTAATTTTAAAGGTTGTTGTGTCTACAGTGGGACCTCTGGGCTCTGTCGCTTAGCAGCTGTGGACACCAGTCAAGTGTCCCCACACCATCCCTAGAGACACAGTACCGTCAATCACACCGCCAACTTCGAAAACCCTCGACCCGTACGAAGGAATGACCACCACCACTACTCCGCCTGGGACGTCGCAAACACCTGCGGTCTTCACAATGTCTCCTGAACTCTTTCCGCCGAGCACAGCGTCGCCAGGTGCTAGTCAGGAGACAAGGCCTACTAATGTTTCCCTGTGGGAGCTAAACGCCCCAGGGTGGTCTTGACACTACGTTATCCTTAGAGAGTGATCTCAAACATACTTCCTCAGCGAGTTCCACCGTGCAAGGCGCGACGGAAGATGCTCCCGTTGATGGAAGGCAGCCATTCGATGTCTTAAGAGCCTTCACGAGCACTGATAAGGATGTTACGGACGAGAAGCAAGACACAAAGGATATTCTCTTACACGTGAACGGAAGTTACGAGGAGGTCGTAGAGCAAGAAAAAGATAACTCGAGTATACCTCACTTTCAGGAGGAAAAACTGGTACTGAGTGAACTTGGGGATGTTAAAAAAACGCAGGAAATGTCAGAACATGAGACCACCATTACGGATGTGAGAAATACAACTCGATATATCCAAGGGGGTAACACTGGGCAGGAGGTCAATAATAGGATAAGAATGACTATCGCAAACATCGACACAGACGTAGGTGGATCCGCAGAACACAAGAACACCACCGTAAAGAAAAACAGCAGAAGGAAGAATAGGAATAGAAAGAGGAAAAAGAAAAACAGAAGAAAGAAAACAAAGTCGAGAAATCAATCATTGGTGTCAGTGGGTCGTCGGAGAGGTGAGTTTGATGAGCCTAACCCCTCGAACAGAACATCTCTTCAGTTGACGTTGGACGTAGCTAAGTTGAGATCTGGCAACCTGAAACCTGGCAAAGCTAAGAAGAGCTCCGATCAGCTGGTATCTGGCAAAATAAAGTCGAGGTCTAGTCGTATACAGTCTAGTGAAGCTATTGCCAGGTCTGATAAAGTTAGGCATCTGGAAAAGCTAAGAAGAATTCTGGTCAGATGGTGTTTGAAAAAGCTACGGTGACCCCCAGCGCTGAAGAACTGTTCTTCGCCGAGTTTCTTGTTCAACAAGAACAGCGGAAGAGTTATCACGATATTCTCGGTAAGTATGTTTCCAAATACACAGTTGATTAACAGAATCGGATAAGGATATGGTTAGGGATGAACGTGGAGTGATGAAAGCAGACACAGAGGATAGGATAGGAAGGGGCTGACAGAAGTAAATATGGACAGAGCGAGAGATGAGCAGGGACTAACAGTAGAAGACGACTGAAGAAAATGATAATTGGGAGACGAAAACAATAAAATAAAATAGATAACAGAAATTAATATATCTTCGTGGGAAGCTAACGGCTCCTATATAAAACATTTTTAATTGTAAACATTTTTCAGTGCTGATTCTTCGATTAATTTCCGTTTTTTCAAATTAACAGTTTGTTATTGTGCGTTTTAGTGTTTACTATTTTCACCTACGATTAATATATAATACATTTTTAATTAATAATTATATAAAACGTCCTGTTAGAATAGGAGAAAACTGAATGGAATCTGCGATATTTTTGTCAATATTGATTTTATCATTATCTGTTTAACACTTAGGTTGTTGCTGTTCCACCAGTTCTTGAATATGTTGAAGACTGTAAGACATCAGGGCAGTTTTCCAACACATTACCTATGTGTTTTGAAAAACACATAGGTAATGTATTTTTCATTAGGCAAATACATTATCATATACAATGATGACCCACAGACTGAAAAATATTTTCCCTCCGCGGCTTACATTGTACAAGCAATGTAATTCTCACCTCTATAACTCATATCTGGCTAACTGATTTCCTTGAATGCTTTCACAATCAATTTTGTGTCCACACTCCAGTAGCAGCTACAGTGCCATAGACCACTCTCCTTCCCTGTTCCTACTTCTCAGTGCTTCCTTAACATACTTCCTCTGACCCTTTCTAGGATGTCTCCTGCATCTAATTCCAGTAATCTCAGATTGTTAAATCCTCTTAATCAATCTTCCTACTGTAGTTCCACGCTGCAAAATCAAACCACATCAACAATCCCTCTTCCACTTTTTGAGTCATAACCTTCATTCCGCCACTCACTCTTCTAATTTCTTCATTCTCTGCGTAATAGTCACGCAACAAATCGATCCCTGACTTATGACAACTGCCACAAGATTCCTCTTCACGCTCCAGTATTCATAGACAATTTCTCGCACACATGCAAAAACGTCAACATCCCATTGCTCTGATACGTACCCCATTTGTTTGCATTCATTGCCATGCTTCTTTTCAAATAATCCTCGACATTGCAACTTTTCTCCCTCTATAATAACGTTTACCCTATTTCCTCTCTGATAATTTATTATAAGTGTTAACAGAGTAATTCTCCCTATCATTATGCTAAGGCCTACTGACTCTCATGGCCTTTAAGGCCAAATCCTACGTCCTCTGTAAATATCATATAAGATTTAGTCTCTAACGTTGCTAGAAATTAGAATACACTTTCAGTGTGAATGTACAGAGAGATACAAACCTTTCGGATAAGTCGTAGTTAAGTTTAAGGCCTATGACCTGTTCGATGGCCATTAGAAGAGCAATACGGCTAGTAACCATCCAAAAAAATGTGTTAGAGACGATGTATGTAATACTGACATAGATAAAGAGAGACAGATGAAACGTTTGGTAAATTTATTACGCAGACGTTTCCATAACAAAGTTACGTAGCGTTGCTTAAGTCTCTTTTATACAAAGAATGATTTAATAAATTAAAACAGATCAGGGTAAACTTTCAGTGATTATACACGGAGATGTGCACACTGTAATATGTGCATAATATGTGTGCTTTAAATTATCTTTATTATTATTATCATATATATATTATATATATTTTATTATATATATATATATATATATATATATATTATATATATATATATATATAATATATATATATATTTTATATAAATATAATGTACAGCTCAGTGAAAAAAGGGAATTACCCTAAACTCAGTGTATATATACGAAAAATATACATCTTTCGGGGTTTATACCTAGATGGTATATAGTCTTTATTTCTTTCTTTATCTCCATAATCACAAAATACATAAACCCGTATATTAGTTGAGTTTTATCTATTATAAAGTATCGAGGAATATTTTAGAAAAAGCATTTAAGGCTTACTGTCCAACTTTTTTTTCCTCAACTTTTTTCTCTTGTTGGCAAGATTCGTGTGCAGTCAAGCACGAGACACAATCGATTACCGATAGACAGAGCAGGCGAGCGTGAGGTGCTCGTGCCTGACATCTCAGGTGTATATTACACACCTGCACTTCTTGCACCAGGTGTATATAACATCGGCAGTTTTTGTGCCTGCACCTATTATGACAGGCGTACATTACACATGACTCTATTGCTTTCCAGAAAAGAGAGAGAGTGCAGAGAGCAGCTTTGATTGCGGTTACAATTGCTCGTTATATTTGCATCATGTTAACTGGCCGTGCCTATATCATTAGTAAACATGCACTCAGGGTAACGAGGACCGGTGCAGTGGTGGCGCTGCTAGGCTGCGTTGCTGGTAATTAGTCGGGATTTTAGTGGGGTAAAGAGAGCGGATGAATGTATATTGATGTTTGTTTTGTGTAGGCGTTGTTCTGTTTGTGGTCTGTGTGTGTGTTTTGTGTGTGTTTTGTGTGTGGTTTGTGTGTGTGTGGTGTGTGTGTGTGTGTGTGTGTGGTGTGTGTGTGTGTGTGTGTGTGTGTGTGTGTGTGTGTGTGTGTGTGTGTGTGTTGACCAAGTCATTGATGTGAGGAATTTAACAAAAGCGATTTGAGTGGTATACATATTTTTAAAGCGTGTATTTAATCGGCGAATTCTGTATTGTTCCCAAATTCTTTTCACTTAAATATGAAAATACTGAACACTGTTTAATAACGTCCATATGGATCATTTAGGAGATCGACTCAAATGCGCTCCTCACGATCTGCCTCAATTATTTTGTACAGCGTGACCATGTCTCCCCTTAATACACATTCTACATTCGTGAAATAGAGTTCCTCAGTCTTCCCGTAATTCCAGCCTCTCAGCAACCGCAACGAGTGTTGCGCTGAACCTCTGAGCTTAATCTAGTCTTGCTGTGTCATCCACTTGGCGTGGGCTCAATACTACCGTAGTGCTGCATGCCCAAGGATTAGCTTTTGCATATGATATAACTAAGATTTGCAAGATTCTCTGTCAAGGTTTTTGAAGGTTGTACTTATTTTATCACGCCTGATGCTCGCCACCGCTTTTAATCTCTTTCTTGCGTTTCCGGAGATAAGTTAATATAATGCTAGCTCGCAGGCAGTTTTCTTTACCCGACATCTGGTCTCTTTCCTTTACTCTGGACTCGCTGGGGGTGGATATCTAAGTAGCTACATGCTGAACCATTCCTGCAACATACCCAACTGTAATTCAAGTTCCTTCAGATGTTCTTCGCTTGTATTCTTCATTAGCCCTCACAGGGCTCGTACGGAGAAGCTAGGTCTCTCTGGTCTGCCATCTCTGCCCCAAGGGGGCTAATGGGAATGGCAGTCTTGTGATCTGCAAGCTCTGGCTCAGGCACCTACCCTGCCCTAGAAGAGCTGGGCATGGTGTCGATCGTTGTGAGAGTGATGTTTGTACGAACGTCTTGATTAAAAGTCTTCAATGTTTATATATATAACGTGTTTATATATTCACCATGTTTATATCTCCCCAAGATTACATACCTTCAATATTTCTATATCTATTGCTTAACGCTTCCTTTTTTATTATAATATATATCTATAATGTTTACATGTTTATTGTGTTTATAGCGATTTCAGAACCATTCTTCATAATTTACCCACTCAAAAAGTAAATTAATGAAACTTGACTGAATATGCTAACGCTTGAGCATGGCAAGTAGCTACGAAATGAATATTCATACTTGGCAGCCAACCTGGAGTATGTTAAACCAGTATAACTTCCAGGACGCAGCGTATTCACGTTGATTTATGTCTGAAGATCAGGGAAGTGTCGCAGTCATAACCGCTGAACTTATATATGATATGGCCTTGCTTGGTGTGTATGTGTGTGTGTACGTATTTGTGTGCGTGTTTGTGTACGTATGTGTTTTACGTGTATTGGGGTGGGGGATAGAGTTTTGGCAGGACAGATTTAGCTGGATTTTCTTGGCATTTTAAATCTTATGATAAAACCTTATTTTTGCTTCCTTCGTTGTAAAAGCTTGTCTGCGGCGTCCAAGTGTTTGCTTCGAAAATCGAGGAGTAATGAGGGGATCGACCCCGCGAGTAGTAGATCGCAGTCCCACACGCTACGTATCTTACCAGAGTGCAGAATGGAACCAGGATGGAACCTTGTAGGTTCCGCGGGTTACTTTACTTTATTCACGTCTTCCTACACCAGGACTCTGCTTTTAACCACTTATTTATTCCTCTATATTTTTTTAACCTTCCCTGATATTTTGACGTTCTTTGAGTGCGTGTATTAATCTTCTGTTGTCAAAAGTTTTCTTATAAGCCAATGAGTGTGTAGTTCATTCATCCCTCTCTATCCTCTCTTCTCTGTGTTTCTTAAGTTTCGTGAGGTAAAATAAATCTAAGTAAATAAATTAGATAAAAATATATTTAATTAAATCCATAATAAACTCATAAAAATAATGGATTCAGTTACACTGATGCTTCAGTTTAAACAAACCAAGTGGCTGCTGGAATTTCAGCCAAAATGCTTTAGGGTCATATGAATTAGAGAGAGATATGACCGGAGGCAGAGCACAGTCTATGTAATGTCGACTTCAAATGTTAATAAAAGGAATAATATATATGTATAACATGGCAACAAACCTATCACTGGAGGTACTTATATACCATGTAACTCAGTGACAAATACAGTATTAACAAACCTCTGATTAGTATTCAGGAACTTAAAACAAAGAACCCTTGATGGGTTTTATTCAAGCATAATTTATTCCCATCAGTGAGTGTGTGGACTTAGTGTGGAGTCCCCATATGGTTAAGCATGTGCAGAAGCTCGAAGGAATATATCAGAGAGAATGACCGAAGGTACAGAGCCTGTCAACTTACAGTTCTTGTAGGTGGGAAGTACAGCGAATGCTCTCTGAAGGATGGGTGAGGATTTACAGTCCTGGAGGTAGAAGTAGCAGAGAAGAACGAGAGGAGACATGAGTACAACGTGCGAATATGAGGAGGAACTGATGAGGCAGATAAATAGTTGACTGAGTTATACATAACCTATATAATGGTCCGTAGACTGATAAATTAAGAGGACCAGGGTCTAAAAGGACACAGATGAGCCATAGGGATGATAAATAAACACTCGTTCAATCTCAGAGTGGTAGGAAAGTAGAATACGTTCAGTGAGGAGTGGAGACAAATACAAACAAGTTTCTATAATAGGCCTGAAGTTGAAGAAGTTAGAAACTAGTAATGGCGATCAAAGTGGTTCAAGTTTTGGAGTCAGGAGCCGAGATTCGGTCCCCGCAAAAATAAACCGATGGGTACAAATCAGCGAGTGCACATACAAATCAAGACCTAACTCTTCCTACAGCTTTGACCACTGAATTCTCAATATTTTCGCCATTACATTGATTTAAAGTAAAATGATGCGCCCCCCCCCCACCCATCCCCGCAGCTTGAGTTGTATACGCCCTTGGAAGCATTCACGAGATAAATTTCTGTCATGCATGAAAGTGCATTAAAGCTATTGACGATACCTGGCAACCAATAAACCCGGGTTCGATCCCTGTGCGAGTGGAAGCTTTCGGCATGTCTCCTTACACCTTTTGCCCCTGTTCACTTGACAGTGCATAGGTACATGGGTGTTAGCCGACAGCTGTGGCTTGCATCCTGGAGAGGAGAGCCAGAGGATCCCAGTGATAATAAGCCACATTTATTAGACTGGGTTATCCTGGACTATGAACCTTTCTTCTTCAACGAGGCGGCTTAAAATAGAATACTTAGTTGATAGGAAAAGAATGGATATTCTACAAAAAACTACCTACTGTAGTTAGTAGTAATACACCTTTAAAAGTACTACTACTAATACTCCAACTATTATTATTTTAGTATAGCGACAACTACTATTACTACTTCTGCTATCACCAGTACTACTAGTATTATCACAGCTAGTATTTTGTTAACCTGTATTAAATCTACATAACATACTCTTTTTAGGTGCCTATAACGTCATTGTGATCTGTCACTATTATAAAATATTTTACGTACGATAACTTACTTTCTTAAAAAAAAAATCGGCACTAGCTGCATAATGAACTATTAAACAAACTACTGCAACTGCTAGTAACTACTACAGCTACTGTGCAAAAAAAAGTAACGTGGATTTCTTTTTTTAAAATCCCAAGCAAACTGATTTGAACCTCCGAGAATGAACCTCTGTTCGAGGGAGAAAAAATACTGGGAAAAATCACAGTGTTTTGTTGGGGTTAAGAGTCGTATAGTCCCACTTTTGTACGGGAGTGAGCACGCCATCTTCCTCCTGGTCTGTGTTGTGCCCGTGGCGGTAGCTAGGCTGCTCCGCCCCTCGCTTATCGGACGGAGCATCGAGCCTCCACCACTCTTTGAACTCAGTAATTTCCCTAGGGGCTTTAGCGCTTCGTGAAATACAGTGCGATGCTCCGACCTGGCTCTGAGGTTTTTCCTTCTTTTTTTATTTTTTTTTTTACGTGTTCTTATTCACTTGAGACTTGACAATGGCCCAAAACGGAAACCAAAACGTTCTCTAATGTTTCTTCACAAATTGTGGGTTTATAATAATAATAATAATAATAAATAAAATAATAATAATAATAATAATAATAATAATATTTGTATCGTTTTACTGGGATAATCACTTCATTTAGGTTGAACGGTGTTTAAAAAAAATAATTATTATTATTATTATTATTATTATTATTATTATTATTGAGTGATGGAGACTCGATTTCCCCCGAAATGAAAGGGGCAAGGCAGATTAATTATACCTACCTGCACGTAGAGCAGCTTCACTCGGAACTATCATGTCACAGAACAACCCCTTTAATTCGCAAGTATATCACATCTAATGTCATGAATACCAGTGTTGTGTGTGTGTGTGTGTGTGTGTGTGTGTGTGTGTGTGTGTGTGTGTGTGTGTGTGTGTGTGCATGACTAATTCCTTCCATTTAAATATCGTACCACACCCATTAGCATGGAATACATCGAGATTAGTTTAAATCTGTGGCTGTGTTGCTTTGAAAAAAAAACATGTGGATGTGTAATAATGATAATAAAATAATAAATTATTATTATTATTATTATTATTATTATTTTTATTATTATTATTATTATTCAGCGCCGGGGGAAAGAGGGGCAATCATGCCTGATCCACAGCAAATAATAGTAATAATAATAAAAATAATAACAGCAATAATAATAATAATAATAATAATAATAATAATAATGATATTATTATTATTATTATTATTATTATTATTTTTATTATTATTATTATTATTATTATTATTTACTTAATTATTTTTTTCCAAGCCATCGACTACCGTCCCCGTGCACCCATCTTCTGCTGTGTTTCTGGCGTAGGAGTGGGCGTGAGTGCCGGTTCTTCCGCAGTGTGGGTGCTGGTTGGAGTGGTGTACGGAGCCGCGGGCGTGCTGCAGGTGATTGCGGGTGTGGCGTCGCTGGCTCTGCACGCCGCCCGTACCCACGCTCGGAGGTACGCCTTCGCCGTCTGGGTGGGCAATGTCCAGGTGGCTGTCGGTAAGTTTAACGTGCCTAAGTACTCGTGACATCCATAGTTTTCTAACTTACATGAATGCGTGTGTTTTTGCCTGATCTCTACGCATACGCTTTTCTTTGCTTTTTTCTTGTTTTGTTTGTGTTTTTGTTTTTGTTTTGATAGAGATTAGCTCTTTGGTTTAAGTTTAGTTTAAATTCTTTTTGGTTTAGCCTTGCTGTCTTAGGTTAACTTAGATACGTTAAGTCAGGTTAGGTGTTGCTGGATTATGGGAGGTTAAGTTATTTTTGCTTAATTTATGGTGTATTAGGTTAGGTAATGCATATTTGATTAAATTATGTTAGATTAAGATCGATTAAGTTGGGTTAGATTAGGTACCAAAACTATTCCTGCTGCTACTTTTACACTAGTACTAATACTAACCGCTACCACTTTTACTAAATTGAACACCACTGCTACTACTACTGCGAATAATAATACCACTATTAATGTTTCATCCATTGCTTTTACTACCACTTCAACTATATACTCTTTAGATGACAAGAAAATTTATACACCACACTGTAATTTCATCATAATTACTCCTAAGTTTCTCTCAGTCATTCTGATGCCATGTCATATACTCCCCTACAGTAATGTCCCAAGGGGTGGCGCTGGTGTTGTTTTCCCCTGGGGCTGGGCTCCCCGCTGGCGCGTCGGAGTTGTGGAGGGTCGTCGTCGGTCTACTGGTCAGGGGAGTGCAGTTTTTGGGTGGTCGTATATGCTGGGAGTCGTGGCTACCACCCTAGCTGCCTACTGCCCGTGCTTAGCCAGACTCACTATCTTCAGGAGATACACCCTTAGGGAGTGGGACAAGCAATTTCTTCGAGGACGGCTGAAGTGTGCTTGGGGCCGTCATGAAAATATTTTAGAACGTCTGGAAAGTGTAAAAGACCTTCTGGAATTGCCTTGGGAGGACTTGGAAATGTACGAGGGCCCTTTGCAAGTGTTTTGAGTCGTCTCAAAACTGTGTCCTTAGAATGTTTAGTACATCCTAGTAAATTGTAAAAGTAATAGAATTTTATTCTGCTCTCGTGAGTTGAATGGAGACATCCTGGAATTAGATGAAGTTTTGTTGCAGAAATATTCGTAATGTTTTGTTTGGTTTTCACGGAAGGGGCCCTTCCAATTTCTTCAATTGTGTACGAACTTACTGGAAATACTCGAGTGTAAATAGAATTGCGCAAGAACATCCTGGAACCGTGTGGTAATGCCGTGTGGATTATTCAGCTCTGGACGTCCAAATCTATTTTTAAACGTCTTTGAACTGTATGAGTGTGCACTAAAATTGTCTGCTATGAGCACCTAAGGCAGTTAGGCGTTTTGTAAATTGCATTGAAGGTATCTACCAGGTGTCTATTAAGTGCGTAGGTGAGTACTTGCAATGTTTGTGAACGCACAGAAAATCTTTGCAGGCTTCTGGAGAGTGTCTGAGGAATATGTAGGCTCCATTGAGTGAGAGAACAGAATTGATTTTAAAACGTAGTTAAAAGAGGATTTTTTTATTTATTAAATGATAATTGATTCAGGAAGTGTGTGAACAGAGCGGATAACAATTTATATCCCTCCTTGGGTATTGGATAAGCCATAGTTACTTCGAATATATTTTTTTTTTTCTTGGAAGATTCACTTGAGGCGCTAAGAGATCTTAGACATTCTGAAAAAGTTTGAGTAATCACAGAACAATCTTTCAGTAGTTAAAATAAATTTGATTTTTT